CCAGCCCTTTTTATTTTCAGACAGGGGCTCACTAAGTTGATGAGGTTGCCTTCGAATTCGGGATCCTGATGCCTCATCCTACCAAGCCACTGAGGTACAGGCATGTACCACTACACTTGGCCAATATTAAGTCTTTTGATATTTCTACTCTAGGAAAATTTGGAGCTTGGACTTATATATGACCTTTGGGGTATTGAAAAGTAAAGCCTGTCACCTAATGTAATCTCAGTCTTCTTTAAATCTCTGTGTTAATGGTGAATATTAAGAAATCAAGTCAAGGGCTGGGGTTGTGGCTCAGTGGTAGAGTGCTTGCCTAGCATGTGTGAGGCACTGGATTTGATCCTCAGCACCAAATATAAATAAAATAAAGGTATTGTATCCATCTACAATAAAAAAAATAAATCAGGTCAAGCTGAGTTCAGTGACATACACCTGTAATCTCAGCAATTCAGGAGACTGAGGCAGGAGGATTACAAGTTGCCAGTATCACAATTTATTGAGATCTTTGGCAACTTAGTGAGACCTTGTCTCAAAATAAAAAGGATGGGGGATATAGTTCAATGGTAAAGCTCCCCTGAGTTCAATCGCTAGTACAAAAAAATCAATCAATCAATCAATCAATCAATCAATCAATCAATCAAGTAAAGTAGGTGAGTGGCACATTGCCCCTGTAATCCCAGCTGCTCTGGAGGCTATAGTGGCAGAGTTATAAATTCAAGGTCAGCCCAGGCAATTTAGCAACATCTGTCTGAAAATAAAATACAAAAAGCTGGGGATATCGTTCAAAGGTAGAGAGCTTGCCTGTGTGAGGCCCTGGGTTGAATCCCCAGTACTGGGGGGAAATAAAGAAAGATATCAAATCAATTATTAGTTTTATTTTATAAACATAGTGACAAGAAGATTGTACAATTTCAATGAAAGAGACAAAATATGACCAGGTCTGCTGCTGCTTGCGTCTTGGAGCAAGAGAAGTTTTCTAGAGGCTTGATGCTAGAAAAAAATCCTCTGTGTATTTATCCAACTATTGAATGGCAGAAAGAGATTCAAATGGCCCCATTTCAATCTTTTTTTCCCGAATGGTTCGTAGATCTCTGACAAGCCGTGACTGACCTTTGTTTTTTGTGTTTTGGTATAAGGCTGGACTTTGCAACCAGGGATTCGGCTTGCGGGGCTTCAAAGGCTGCAGAGAAATAATAGCAGATGAGTATGTCAGACATGTGGTCTCATGTGAAAAGCCAGACCCAAAGTGAAAAATCTCTTTAGCTCTAGTTTGTCAGAACAGCTCTATGATTGACTAAAATCAATAAGAAGACAGAACCTATAAATTCAAGATCTGTCTACCTTGACCCTAGTCACAAGTCTAATGTGGCGAATAGGCCTGAATTATTCACTTGAGAAGGAATGGCCATTTCATGGTGATCCTTGAGGTTAGCTTGTGTTTTGCACATCTGGATAGAAAGAAGCTTCGTGGCAGCAATTGTGGGACATTTAAAAAACAATTTTTGTAGTTGTAGATGGACAGAATGCCTTTATTTTTATGTGGTGCTGAGGATTAAACCCAGTGCCTCACACATGCTAAGCTACAGCCCCAGCTCGAACTGTGGGACATTTTAAATCTTTTAATTTCTCCCGTTTTTTTTTTTTTCACAAGAGAAATTTTTGTAGCTGTGAGAAAAGACTCTTATTCCTGGAATGTACTGATGAGGTAGTTTCACTCAGGGTGCTCTATTTTAACCTCATAAGGCAATGTAGTGATGACCAGTTTTGTGCTTGCACCTTGCATCCTCAGAAATGTAGGTTTTTTTCCCCTTGTTTTATTCAGGTGGTGGGGGCACTTAGGATTGAACCTAGTGGTGCTTTACCACTGACCAATATCCATAGTCCTTCCTGTTTTTTGTTTTGAGACAGAATCTCACTATGTTGCTGAGGTTCTCCCTAAATTGCTGAGGTTGGTCTCAATCTGGAGGTCCTCCTGCCTCAGCCTCCTGAATCACTGGGATTACAGGTGTGTGCCACCATGCCCAGTTGTGTATAGGTAGTTCTAGTGTCAATCCAGGTCTTATTACTCCATAGAATAATGAGAAAAAATCCTCCTTGCCCTCAAATGAAATCTCATTCTGGGACAAAAGTACAAATAGAAGCCAACTTACTCTATATCTAAATATTTAAATATTTTATAAATCAATCTAATAACATGTTGAGTAAAATACTTACCTTGATGAGGAGACCAGGTCTGAGCTTGAGTTCTCAAATTCTTTGGGATTCTTTGCCAGAATGGAGTGGCATAGGAAAGCTAATTGGTGACTCACCCATCTCTTCCCATTTCTAACTCCAACCCATACTGAGGATCTCACAGTTACACATCTGGAGACCCCAGACTGTATGTAGGTGTCTGCTACATACTCAAGCTCTGTTCACATACTCCTGCAAACAACCACCTATTGGCCTCTCCTGGAGTCCAGCTGTATACTGGCAATGCTTGGGAAGACAGCCCAGTTCACCCAAACCCCAAACTGTGTGGGAAATGCCAGAGCTTTGGGTGCCCAGAGTGTGTGTTCTAAAAGGCAGGTAGGGTGTGGACTCTGGTAGGGCATGCCCATTTGACCCCCGGGACTTCTCGCCCTATAAGGAGGGTTGTAGCCAGTAGTAAGAACCAAGCACTCCAAAGCTAAAACCCTAGGGCAGATTCCAGGGTTTTATTGATTAGGTTATTGCTCAATCACAAGGGAACTATTATTTGAGGAAATCATAAGATGTGGGGAAAAGAAAAGGATGATTTCACAGGAAAGTCTAGGAGGAGGAGACATTTGTACAGCATGTAGAAATGGCAAACTTGGAGGGTCCTCCAGCTTTGCAAGCAGAGAAGATCAGTACATTCCCTTGTTCACACAGAGGTGTCCTTTGTCACCTGAAAACCACTCTCTTTGGAAAGGCAATTCAATCTCCGAATGAAATATGACCTGCCTTCTTCATTTCTCTAAAGGATCCAATATCAGGGTTCTGCCAGCACATGCAGCTTGTGTGTCAGTTAAGATAAGGGCTCTCCCTCCTGATACCCCTTCTTCCAGACTGTATTCCTGCACTAGGGCATAGGACTTGGGAGAACATTGGCTGGTTTAGGCCCCCACTCTAGCCTTTGGCCAACAATCTTTGTATAGAGCAATTCCTGAGCAACCTCCCAAGATGGCCTTGTCTGATATAGTTCCCACTGATCTTCCAATGCTTCCATATGCAAAATATGCAAAAATAATTGTTAATACTCATCCCTCATGGCTACCCATCCCAAATCAAGGACTTGCCCATCCCTATTCTACCCATCTATTCTTCCTATAGGGCTTTGCTCCATAATAATAAAGTATTATTTAGCTCTGTATGAGGCTAAGTGCCTTACCTGCATTTTTTATCCTCATAAACCCTATGGAGAAGTAGGTTCAATTATTATCTCCATTTTATAGAAAAAATAAAAAGGTATAGGAAGTCCTTTCCTTGAAGGAGTTTACAGTTGAGGAAGTTTAGAAAGGACTGTAACAAGTACATAACTCACCAATATAAAGTACAACATATTAAATTCATGTGAAAGGGTCAAAGTACTCTTGTAATCAGGGAGATGGTAGAGGCTTTGGGTAGAAGATGAAATATGAATGGATTTTAGGGTTTTGACAAAAGATGACTGGGAGACCGCGTTTATAGGAAAAGCATGAGAGAATGTGTAGAGGATGACTGGAGCAAAGAATGGCAAATAGCTTGTAGAAGTAGAGTTTAGGCTGATAGGGCATACATTAGCACTATGTGACTTCAGCACTTTATGTAAGCACAGGAGCTTGGGTTGCTTCGTGGATACATGGATAGGTTTTGACAGGGGTGATGTCTGGTTCAGGAACACAACTTGAAAAAATTAATCTTGTGGCATATATCTGTGGCATATGCATTATTAGCATATAAGAAAGAGAAAAAGAGTGAGCAAAGGTAAAGAGTTTATTTGGAAGGCTAATTGTAATAGATCAGGGTTTCTCAGCCTCAGCACTATTGGAATTATACTATTGGAATTATTGTGTAATTGTTAGTTGTGGGGGTTTTTACTTTGCATTGTGGAATATTTAGCAGCTTTTCTAGTCAGTACTTACCAGGTGTTAGAAACTCCCTTCCCCCCATATGACATTGCTAAATGACCCTAGGGAGGCAAAATCACCTCCATTTGAGAACCAATAGACCATGTGGGAAATAAAGAAGGCCAGGGTGTTAAGACATGGGTAGGGGTAAAATTTAAAACCTTTGACAAGTGTTTGGATAGGAGTGTGAATGAGAAGACGCATGTTGTAAATTCAAACAGAATAGCAAAAAAAGCCCTAGAGGCTTTGTAGTCTTATATGCTTATAATTGCTTGCACCCTTTTGCAGGGTGATTTGGTAAATAAAGCCATTTAGAGAGCAGTTTGGTAAAATCCTATTAAAAAATCACAAAAATTATATTGCCCTTTGATCCAGCAATTCTATTTCTGGGAATTTATCTTATGTGATTCAAATGAAGATGAGTAATCTTTGTTGCTTATGTATAAAGCAACAAAGGTACATAAAGACAATAACCATGTTCTCAACAATTCCATCCTCCACCTACTAACCACATTGCCTGTTAAATGAGAAGCCCAGATTTAAGAAGTCGATTTAAGAATCAGAGGAGGTAGAGATTGAGGATTCTGGAGCGAAGTTGTAGCTAATGAAACAAAATCTCAGACAGGTGGGGAAGAAAGGGCAGATATAAAGAATGCCACAGAGAATTTACTAACTTCTTTTTCAGAGAGGATGCGACTACAAGGATTTGCAATGGAGAAAGGAGCAAGGGAAGTTGGCTGGAGGACCTCTTAGGGCTTCATTCAATGATGTTATCTACAGGGTAAAAGGATCGGTTGGACTGGAATTTGTATAGAATCTCGAACTTTGCCTGAGCGCAATCTTTGAAAACAAGGATTGTTCACTTTCTAGTGGGAAGCTATTGGCGAACGTATATTAAAGACTCTTTTGGGCTGGGGTTGTGGCTCAGTGGTAGAGTACTTGCCTAGCACAGGTAAGGACCTGGGTTCGATCCTCAGCACCACATAAAAATAAACAAATGAAATAAAGGTATTGTGTCCATCTACAACCAAAAAAAAAGACTCTTTTGCGAATACGCTATGTATTCAGACTACAAGCAAAGAACTAGCCAATATTCTTTCTCCTGAAGTGCCTAGCAATTTTTTAAAAATTGGTCTCTAAGTATGGAATCTCTGTTAATTGTTAAGGATTCTGCCTCTGTAGTGTGAAGTCGCGCATTTACAGAAAGTAATTTTTCTTAACTAAGGCGAGCAGGAGAAGCCCTGTAGATACGAGGTGGGCGTGGCCAACGCAGCAGAGGTTGAAGGCCACGCCCCCTTCCCAGAGTGCACTGCAGCCACTGCCAGGCTGGGCTCGTTTCTCCAACTTAAGCGGCCTGGGAGAGCGGTCTTGCAATGGACGGGCTCCGGGCTAGCGCTGGGTTGTTGAGGCGCGGGAGGTTGAGGCGCCGGCGCCAGACCCAGCCACACAGCGGGTCGGTCTTGGCCCTGTCCTTGAGGCCCAGGAAGATCCGAAGGCAGCTGAGGAGAAATATTGCGTCCCGCATGGCCGCTCTGAGGGCTCAGGCGCTGCCGAGCGAAGACTCGGAGGACTCCAGAGTGGAGTCGACGGCGGACGATCTGGGGGACTCGCTGCCTGGTGGAGCGGCGGCGGCGGCCAGTCCAGAGACGGCCCGGAGAGAGCCATACGGCCACCTCGGGCCTGCTGAGCTGTTGGAGGCCTCGCCCCCGCGCGTTCCTTGCAGACCCCGCCGGCGCATTTGGTGGAGGCGCAGACCCCGCCCGCGCGCCTGGGGCCGGCTTCGGCGCCACCTGCGCGCCTGGTAGAGGTAACTGCTGCACCCACCCGAGCGGTGGACACCTCAGCTCGGCTATGTGCTTCCCAGCCCTTAGGAGCCGCTGCACCACCCTGGACGCCTGCGACGCTGTTGGGCTCTCAGGTGGAAAACGCGGGTAGGGAGCTGCCCTGGGACTCTCCGCTGCAGCGCGTCTTGGCTGAGCTGAGCCGCATCCCTAGCAGCAGACGGCGGGCGGCGCGCCTCTTTGAGTGGCTTATCGCGCCCATGCCTCCGGAACATTTCTACCGGCGCCTTTGGGAGCGGGAGGCGGTGCTGGTGCGGCGGCAGGACCACACCTACTACCAGGGCCTTTTCTCTACTGCCGATTTGGACTCCATGCTCCGCAACGAGGAGGTGCAGTTCGGGCAGCACTTAGACGCTGCGCGCTACATCAATGGGCGGCGAGAGACCCTGAATCCCCCGGGCCGAGCCCTGCCCGCCGCTGCCTGGTCCCTGTACCAGGCAGGCTGCTCCTTGCGCCTTCTCTGCCCTCAGGCTTTCTCAGCCACCGTGTGGCAGTTTTTGGCTGTTCTTCAGGAGCAGTTTGGAAGCATGGCAGGCTCCAACGTTTATCTCACGCCACCCAACTCTCAGGGCTTTGCCCCCCACTATGACGACATCGAGGCTTTCGTGCTGCAACTGGAAGGTAGGAAACTCTGGCGTGTCTATCGTCCTCGGGTGCCAAACGAGGAACTGGCCCTGACATCTAGCCCCAACTTCAGCCAGGAGGACCTTGGTGAGCCTGTGCTGCAGACTGTGCTGGAGCCTGGAGATTTGCTCTATTTTCCTCGCGGCTTCATTCACCAGGCTGAATGCCAGGATGGAGTCCACTCTCTGCACCTCACCGTGTCCACGTACCAGCGGAATACCTGGGGCGACTTCCTAGAGGCCATACTCCCTCTGGCTGTGCAGGCCGCAATGGAAGAAAATGTAGAATTTCGGAGAGGTCTACCTCGAGACTTCATGGATTACATGGGGGCCCAGCATTCGGATTCTAAGGATCCAAGAAGAACCGCTTTCATGGAGAAGGTCCGGGTCTTAGTTGCCCGTCTGGGACACTTTGCTCCTGTTGATGCTGTGGCTGACCAGCGAGCCAAAGATTTCATCCATGATTCACTACCCCCCGTGTTGACTGATAGGGAGAGGGCATTAAGTGTTTATGGGCTTCCAATTCGCTGGGAGGCTGGAGAACCTGTAAACGTGGGAGCCCAGTTGACAACAGAAACAGAAGTCCACATGCTTCAGGATGGGATAGCTCGCCTGGTGGGTGAAGGGGGCCATTTATTTCTCTATTACACGGTGGAAAACTCTCGTGTTTATCATCTGGAGGAACCCAAGTGCTTGGAAATATACCCGCAGCAAGCTGATGCCATGGAACTCTTGCTTCGCTCCTACCCAGAATTTGTAAGAGTAGGGGATCTGCCTTGTGACAGTGTGGAGGATCAGCTTTCCTTGGCAACCATGTTGTATGATAAGGGGCTGCTGCTCACCAAGATGCCTCTAGCTCTAAACTAGTTTCTTGTTGATTGTTGGAAACAAAGCAGTAGTGATTGTCCACTACCACTGCCACCAGTTCACTTTTTTTTAAAAACCGGCGTTCTTACCTTGATGACCATCAGTATGGTCACATTTACTTATTTACCTTTATGACTGCTTCAACGTCACAAATCTCAGACAGTCTTCTAGAAGGAACCACTTCATCTAGGTACAAAAGTAAAAAAATGGAGGAGGAAAATGAGCTATTTCTACAGAAGTAACCTTAATGCCTAATCATTTTAGAGCACCAGCTTCATCCCCCTCTGGCTTCAGTGTGTTGTGTAGCACTGGCTATATCATTCTGCTTGAGACATTAGAAGTTTTTGTTTGGAAGTTATATCTTTCATTTGAGTTCTCTTTCATCAAATGGTGTGTGGGGGAGGGCAGTTGGGATCAGTATTCTGTTTTCTTATTAAGTTTGTATGAACATTAGAAGAGTTATTAAAGTACCAAAGAATGTTTCCCTTTTCTGAGGCTAGATTCTTATGTGGCTTGGTTTGAAGATGTGGGTTGTGGGGATGGGGCAGATAAAATCTATAATGGTTGACATGAAAAGCAACCTGGAGTGATTGCAGGATATAAAATGTAGAATGTTAAACTTTTTAAAGAGAGGGCTAGGGGTATAGCTCAGCAGTGGAGTACATGTGCACAAGGCCCTGGATTCAGTCCCCAGTACCACATACGCACAGATTCAATAAAGAAAAAAATTGCATTTGATTGGGGACCTTTCTTTAACTTTGGAAGTATTTTACTCATTTTAATTACAGTACTTGAACTCCAAACAGCACAATCCTAGTAGAAAAGTCATTTTCCACTATCATGGTCAACTAAGAGTATGTATCCTGTTCATTGCTTGCTTGAATCAGTGGCTGGTTCTGCTCCCTAAAGGGCAGCATGTCACCTACTTGTGCCTTCACAGTCCTTTATCAACCAACTTATAGCAAACTGGCCTGGAGGGAAGGCTGGTGTTCAAGTTACTTTCCACTCTCATTTTTTTCCTGGCAGTTGGAAGAAACTTCCCAAAATCTGGCAAGTGAATATTCTCTCATGATTGGTGGAAAAGAGCCTGATGTACCAGAAAGAGCCTTGGAACCAGAAGACCTGGGTTTGGGGTGGTGGCTGTTAGGCAGCTGGCTGAGTGATCTGAGGCTGCTGCTACACTCGGACACACAGATTTTGTAAGTATATTTTGGTAACAGCTTGATATCTGCACCCTTATCATTTAGATTGTGTCTGGAACTCTTTAAGATCCTGTCATTATATCTGGCAGTTTCAGTTTTTTAAGGTTGAGAACTTTTGTAATCTTTTTCTAAAAGTTATAAAAGCAAAGATGTATATAAAATAAAAATGATAGCTCCCCTCCAACTTACTTTTCAGAGGTAATTTTGTGGTGTGTGTGTGTGTGTGGGGGGGGGTATTAGGGATTTCGCCCAGCCCTTTTTATTTTATTTGGAGGTGAGGTCTTGCTAAGTTGGCCTAGGCTACCCTCCAATTTGCCATTCTCTTGCCTTAGCCTCCCAAGTAGCTGGGATAGAAGTGTGCTATCATGCCCAGCTAATGTATCCTCATGCCCTTTATTTGAATTTTTTCAGTCAGTTCAAATAAAGCTGTATGTCCCCCCCCCCAAAAAAAAAAAAAAAAAAGAAACAGAAAGTGAATGAAAACCTGTCAGGAATAATAGGAAGACTCAGTAGTTGGTAACCAAGAAGGGGGGAGTAAGACTTTGCTGACTTTTGCCTCACAGGGCTCCCCAACTAAGTCCCAAAACATCTAGATCCTGGAATGGGTTTATTAAAGGAGTCAAAGCATAGGATTCACCCCTAGGAAACTTACTCTGAAAAGTTTCTTGAATAAAAGTTTGGAGTGTCAGTGGTTCTTTTCCCTTTTTGGGTTGTGAGTAAATATGTTTTGCTTCATCCTTCACTTTTCTTACGGCCATCTCCATTGTGAATATTTTCTGTGTCAGCAAGTCTTTTTGGCTTAGTGATTCAATCTAGATTTGAATAAATAATGTTTTTAAAAAATACATTAGGCAGTAAGTCATCCAAAAGTATTAATAAGGTTAGCTATTGTATCATGCTTATTTGTATTAGGTGATCTATGAATATCTAAGAATGTTGTTCTCTTGTGCTATTGAATAGAAATTTTTGCACCTGCTAATGAAAATGGTTGCTTCAGCTATTAGGAGGGCATGATGAGCCTGTTAAGAGATGCTGCTTGGTATGAAGTTGGTTTTGTCAACTACCTTTTTAACATTCTTTTCTATCCCTTCATTTCATCTAAGAGCTTTGAAAAGCTAGAGCAACCCTTTTAGTTACAGAGTTCCTTTGGTGAAAGAGCCCAGATTAGAAATTAAGGAAAATTGAGGAGGAAAAAGAAAATCTAGGAGGCTCAGTTTAGTCCCTCTTCTTTCTTTATGCCTATATGCAAAAAAGAGAGAACACTTTGGGTTTAAGGGATGGTGGAGGCGGGGAGGGAGAAGGGAGGGGATCAGTAAAACAAATAATAGTAAACCCTGATTTTGAGGGCTACTTGATAAAGACTACCAGAATTTTTGTTTTGTTGTCTTTATTATTAGGATTTTATAACCCAATTCTGCAGAGATGTTTTGTATCTTCATACAATATAATATATGTGTCTGGAGTTGTAGAAAGTATGTCTGTGATAGGGGAAAGCATATGTACATGCTTAGGGAGAAAAAGGATTTGAGGAACTCTTGAGAGCTCTGAATTTTCTTTTGAAAACACTGCTTGAATTTTCTTACCCTGTTCTTGATTTCCTGAATCATTTCTTGGTTTCCTTCATTTTCTAAGTTGAGTATCTTCATTGCATGATAAATTTCCCTGAAAGAAGTACTTTTTAGTGGTTATACCCTTACAGCATGTGGGGATGGAAAATATGGAATTTAGAATTAGTCAAGAATCTTAAATTCCAGTCTTAACTACAGTTTTGCTGAGCCACCTTTGAAAAAAATGGTATGACACAGCTTATATAGATATGGTGCAGTTTTTGAAATGATATATTTGAAGGTACATGTATTTCGTGCCTTTATGATAGATCCTACCTAAAAGTAATCTCATTGTCTCTATAATGTAGACTGTCATCTGCATTTGATACTTGAAAAATGGGCTCAAAGTTTAAGTGTCTTCCCCAGGCTTAAATACCTATTACACGATAGAACTGGAACTTAAACCCTAGTGTGATTTTTTTTTTTTTTTGTATTCTAAAATAGGCACTTGATAAATATTAGTTGAATTTATGAATAACCCAGAAATCACCTGCAGGAGAGAACATGAACTTGCCAATCTATCTTAGGCTGGATTTTTGGATAAGTAGGTGATTGGCACATTACTTTTTCCACTACGGAGAGTGAAAGGCAGAGAAAAATTTTCAGTGAAAACAAATGGGAGAGTTAGCAGTTGAGGAAGCTATGGCAGAGACCAGAGATTTAGTGCTTACTTTAAAACAGCCTCGTGTTCCTCCAGGAGCAGCACATCTAGGAAGGTATCCCTGACATGGGCCCCTTGAAGTTTGAGGGCTAGGATGCTACGGCAAGCTTCTAGTCGTACACCTGGTGACTCTTCATAGTGGATAGCCCAGAGCAGGAGATCAGTCAGTTGGGGACTTGCTTGCCCAATCTGTCCCAAAGCTGCAGAGATGAGAGAGCAGCATGTTTCACCGTCACTGAAGCCTGAGTTGGCTGTATCCTAGCATCCAGAAATAAATTGAATATTGCAAACATCTTCCCTTTTGTATGGCAGTCAATCACCATTAGAATTTTAAGGTTTAAAATTTAATGTTTAGGGGCTGGGGATGTGGCTCAAGCGGTAGCGCGCTTGCCTGACATGCGTGCGGCCCGGGTTCGATCCTCAGCACCACATACAAACAAAGAAGTTGTGTCCGCCAAAAACTAAAATAAATAAATATTAAGAATTCTCTCTCTAAAAAAAAAAAAATTTAATGTTTAAAAAAACAGACACATACACAAAGAAAAAGTAATACTTCTTTTTAAAAAGAACTTTTTAGAGAACTGTGGGTGTAGCTAAGTGGTAAAGCCCTTGCCTAGCATGCGTGAGGCCCTGTGTTTGATCCCCTGCACTGTCCAAAAAATATATAACTTAAAAAGTATTTGGCATGGGCCTGGGGATGTGGCTCAAGTGGTAGCGTGCTCACCTGGCATGTGCCGGGTGCTGGGTTCGATCCTCAACACCACATAAAAAAAAAATAAAGATATTGTGTCCACCTAAAAAATTAAATAAATAAATAATAAATATTTTTAAAAATATATTTATAAAAGTATTTGGTATGGATTGGATTAAGGTATTATCGCTAAAGGATTCTTATGCAAGGGCTGTTTCATCCCATGCTTGCCCATTAGGATATGAACAAAGTGTAATTTGCTTATTTAGGGATGAAATGTGGGACAGATAACTTGGAAGATCAGCCTAATCAAGGCAGAGAGAGGGGGAAGGGAGGTGCAGTTATTTCACTTACCAGGTTTGGTTATGTTAGAGACCTACCAAAGACTGCCAATAAGAGAAGCAATGCCAAAGATCCTAAAGAGAAACTCGGAATATCAGAGGGCATCGTCTGACTTTTGCAAAGTGCTATAGTTGAAACCTCCAGGGAAAGCAAGATGTATCAAACAGTAAATAACTATTTGGAACTTTGTGTTGTTGTTAGGAACTGTCTTGCTGCCCTTTGCTTTAACAAGTCATTCATAGATCTAGATTTGGGATTCTTGATTAAAAATTAAGATGAGGAAGAGTATTTTTTTCTTCCTCATGCAAGGAACTTCTGAGAAGCTAAGATCATCATTCCCTACATTCCAACCCAATTACTAGAGAGCCTTTAGGCATCATCTATATTAGCACAGGAGACAGTATTTAAAGTTGGGGCCATAATTTTTGTAATACCTCGAATGGCAAAAGCCTTGATTTTCCAGTATGGATCTTGGTGCATCAGATTCACGAGGCATTCAATCACCTGGGATGGATAAGAAGCAGTATTGAAAGGGGAGAACCAAAACAAGAATGGACCAGAAACCAGGAGCCCACTTATTTACAAAGTGCTTTAACTGAAAAATGACCTATCAATTCTAGGGACAAACAAGCTGGAATTTTAACTTACCAGCCAATACACAGTGTATTAGTTGGATTATCTGCTTTTTGGATTGATTTTTCTCAACCCACAGATCTATGGCCATACAGACTTTGTGTGTGTAGGGTGCTGGGAATTGAACCCAGAGCCTCGCACATGCTAAGCATGGGTTCTACTGCTGAGTTATACCCGAGTCCCAGATTTCTTATGAATACCCAATCAGATTTTCCCCTAATAACTTGGGATTAAAACTCCATTCACTGGAATTGATCCTAAAGCCCATCAGCACCCAGATATTGAGAAGCTAGTTAACAGGATTCAGAGGTATTCTCTAGAGTGAAGATTGGACTAGCTGGGAGCTAAAAGGTCCTCCATACTGATTGATATGACTTCTTGATTCTGAAGTCTCATTTAGTGTCCCCACAGAAAGAGAGTATACTGTGCACAAGAGGGGAAGGTAGGCCTTCTTCAAGTCTATCAGGTAAGATGAGAACGTGTTTCCTTTACTTACCATCTTGTTGCGGATCTGCAGGGCACCAGCTGCCAAACAGGCTGCCTGCCGAACTGCTATGAAATCATCAGAGAAACAGCGCAGAAAGCTTGGGAGAAGCTTGGCGGTCATGAGCTTGAGCCCACCTATCAGGTAGAGGGCTTCTACACGCTTCTGGGGATTTCCTAGACCCAGCTTAATCCTATAAGGCACAAGTTGCTTTTATTTCCCCTCCTTAAACTTCCAGTGCCGCCCACTCATCCATTCACCCTCAGGATAAATTTTTAGCTCTGTAGACTCTGTTATCCAGCCTCATCCTGGCACTCAACTGTGCTGAATGACAGAATTAAGTGTCAACTTTCACCCCTTGTGACAGGTTCTCTCTTGCATTGCTATCACATATGTGATGCATAGTTCAGCAATTGACTCCCAGCCCAGAATGACTGTCTTACCCATTCTCCGTGAAATGGCCTTCTCTTGCTCATACTGAGTAATCAATTTTTCTATGGCAGTCTTGGTATATGCCATTTGTTCTAGTTTTAAATATGATATATTATTTTATTTTTAATTTTTTTCCCAAGGGAAATAATAGTTTGCTTTATTTTAAAATAGCAACTTCCTTACATTGGAGCACTAGCCAAAATTCAATACTGATGCAAATATAAATTTCTTAGGAGCCCAAAATATGTGTCAGATGGATTTTCTGAATTTCTTAAAAGGCAGAATTTTTAAACCATATCAAACAATTAGAAACAATATCAACCAACAGCATGCCACAGTTTAAACCTAAGCCAAATAACCAAACTATGTAAGTTATCTCAAATAATTTTTGTTAATATTTAGGAGAACAATAAACATTTTTAGTAACTTAAAGTGTCTTTCTACTTATCTTCTAATCCTTCCAGGAAGTATAACTTTTCTTCACTAGATTTAAATTTTAAAAAATTCAAATATTTACTCATGGTAAGAAATTCTGGCATTAACTATTAGCTGAATTTATCACAAATAGAAAATCATGAAAGTTTATTTAGCACTTATAAATGACCTTATAAGCCCTAGATGAGAAAGGCAGTTCTCTGCTTTCCAGTAACACCTAAGGATTACATTGCATTATATTAATTCATCAGAACAGCATTCTGACCAATGATAAATAATATATAGGAAAGTCATAGTCCTACTTAATAGTGTTTCATTATAAATATTTTGACCAATATTAAAAAATTTTTAAACTCCATTATGCTGACATTTCCAGAAGTATTATCAACTTAGCAATGAGTCATTTTTATGATGCCATTTATTAAACTGAAAATAAAGAAAGATGGCATATCTGGTTTATATTTAAGTGATTTAATTCAATAATTCAATCTGTCACCACTTGAAAAGTACATTTGTTTCCTCAGCATTGGATGCAATATGAGGTACAAGCAGCCATCCTGGTTCTCAACTTCCCTCTAATGGAAAGCATATGGAATTGCAGCAGTGAACATCAACTGGTTCCTATTCAAAGCTCCACTTCAAAAATGAGAGAATCTAAGATAAAAGTTCTATTAGAGGCAAGAAGATTCTAATCTCAAATATTTTATTCCAACAACTTACATTATACCAGCTGACCCATACTGAATAGTAAATGCTCACTGAAAACAAATGAAGATAACAATACCCTCATTGTCATTCACTGATAATTTTTTAAACTGTTTTATATCCAAATATATGTATATAAAACATTTGTACAGATAAATTAGTGTTAAGAATTTTAAAATGCACAGTAAAATCCACAAATGTCCTTTCTATGATCTGAAATCTTACAAATGTTTTCAAGATCGGAGGCTTCAACATCCTGGCTAAATGTGAAAAACATGTCAGAATTCAGTATGTTATAGGAGGCTCCAGAACTGACCATCTCATAAAAGCAAAACAAAGTTATGGTGCTTCCATTATTGCTTAATCCTCTACGTTAAAAAGTACACCTTTGAATACTAAAGCCAGGTATTTACTAAATAGTGTTGTTTTCTACTAGCCAAATTCAGCCCTCCCAAACCAGCTGAACCAGGAGTTTTTTTCAGCTCATTGTCCATTAGGAGTTTGAAACATTTTCAATTAAAGCCTTCATTTTTCCTGTAGACTTCAACATATGTGGTCCAAACAATGCTGTCTCTGAGGTGGCCTCTGATGATATACTATTTTAAATTAAGCATTTGTGTATCTTGCCTGTGTTCATCAGAATTGTGTCATACTTCGAACTCCCTCAAATACCCAAAATATTGCCTCACATTAGTGGGCACCTGGTGCTTCTTTCCATAGCCATATTGCTAGTTTCCTTCTTTTTTTTTTTTTTTAAGAGAGGAGAGAGAGAGAGAGAATTTTTAATATTTATTTTTTAGTTCTCGGCAGACACAACATCTTTGTTGGTATGTGGTGCTGAGGATCGAACCCGGGCCGCACGCATGCCAGGCGAGCGCGCTACCGCTTGAGCCACATCCCCAGCCCCATTGCTAGTTTCTTTAGGGACTTTTCTTTTAGGGACTTTTCATAGCTGGACCTATTACTATGCTGAGCTCAACAAATGCTGGTTAGATCCAAGGGTTCCTAAACACTTCTAAGAATAGAAGAGTTTCTCTTGTTGACTAGATCTTACCTGATTGTGTCATGTACTTCTTTCCCAAGGCTCATTTGCCCCAGTGCTTGGGCAGCTGCTTGCCTCACTTCATTATTCCAGTCATCCCACATAAGCTGGATCAATTTACGTTTCATATCCTGTAATCAGGTGTAATTGGCTATTATTTATTGAACATGAATTTTGTACTTGACATTGTGCTTCCCCCCACCCCTTAATCTTTTGAACAATCCACTGAGGAAGATGTTATTTCCATTTACAGATGACACAATAGAGGCTCTGGTAAGTGCTAGAGCCAGGACTCAAATACAGGTCTGTTTCTCACACTCACCCTCTGAAATTCTGTATAGTGTCAGAATGTCAGGACCAATAGGATCTTTGTGAGAGACTTAAAATTTGAAGTAAACAACTCATCCCTGTTTGCCTGGGACTTGCCTAATTTTAGTACTGAAGGTTTCATGTTCTGGACAAACCAGAATAGTTGATCACTCTATCAGCATGTTTCTCAGAAGGAAAAGAACAAAGATTGCTACAATTTGTTAATGATGGTATACATGTGCCCAAAGCTATTCTTGTCTGCAACATCTCACTTTTCCACCCCTGCTCGCATGTTTTCCTGCTCTTTAGGATTTAGCTCAAAAAGTACCTCCCGAGTGAAGTCTTCTCTATCTCTGTGAGCATAGGGAACTACCATTATACCTTACAGCTGCTTTTGTTTTAGCTATTTATATAACACTTGCCATGCAAAAATATATTGCCTTTGCATCCACAATGCCTAGAGACTGTAGGATACCCAGAAACTGCTTGTTTAGTGAATGAGTGAAAGAACTCATACATACTGCCTTTCATAATTACAGTAGTCTGCCATGAAATTCTCATCACCTTTATCTTGTACATTGCTAGCTCTGATTGTTTGTGTATTTGGGGTTGGTAATCCTGAATGACAAATTCCAATAATGGGAATGTGCAAATGAATTCAGATATTGTAACAATGCAGGTTCTGACTGGTTTGACCTGAGGTGAGATTTTGCATCTCTATAGCAAGCTCCCAGGTGATGCAGCAAGATACTCCTGCACTTGAGGCAGAATTAACTCAGTCTTTTAGGTTGTACACATGTATGTATGTGTAACAGTGAATCCCAATATTATGTATAATTATGCACTAATAATTTTTTTTTAAATTGTGACTCAACCCAAACAAACAACAGCAAAGAATTAAGCCATTTCAAACATCATCAGGCAATTATTCTGAATGGCCTGATGTATGTTTTCCATATTAAAATATGAGGAGTAAAAAAATGGAGGCTGTTTACTTCTAGAAGAAATGGCAGTGTAATCCTGGGCCATCCTGGAAAAGATCCCATTTGGACAGCTAATGATTTGAAAATAATGGTAAAAAGGAGGTCAGGATTTCCCTTGCCTAGAATCTCCTCTCCAGTTGTAGAAATTTAGCAGATAAATTCAGTCCACACTAATATTTCTCTCTGAAATGTTTTTAAAAAATACTTTACCAAAAAAAAGAACTTTACATTTATTGCTTGCTCTCGAATATTTGTGCTTGTTTGTCTTGTTGCTTCCAACTGCAATATCGGTTTTTTGAAAGCAGGGATCATATTTTATGTGTGTGTGCTAAACACTCAAAGAAACTGTGCAAACATTTAGTTGGTTTGTTGTGTCCTTTTTTTTTTTTAACTCAGTGCTTCTCAAACTTTTGAAGAATCAGTGTTAGGGCTGAGGTGGGATGGAAAAATGTCATTAACTGATAGTTTTATAAACTCCATTGATACTGAACAGTGTCAGAATACTATAAGTTTCTAAGCTCTTCCTCTTAGCTTTTGTGCTTTATTGTGGCTGTATTATACAGATTGTGGATTGCCACCACACTGATAAGAAGTAGTTTAAGTCACAGAATGACATGTTGATATTTGAAGATAATTATGACTAAGAGACAGCAGTGTGAGATAGAGATCTATGTGGTGAGATTGGAATATTAGCAGCAAAACAGAAAGGCTTCCTCATCCAACCTTGCTTAGGCTTTCTGTCCTGGAGCAAATAAAGATAAGGCTTACTAAGGAGACATTTCCATTGATCTGGGAAAAAGCCCTGCAGGCCAGGATCCGATCCCTCCATCGTTGGCTATTCAGTTCCACAGCAAGCATGTTGTGTATCAGGGTCTGAGGAAATGAAAGACTTGTATGGACATTCATGATTACCTTTAGAAATACTAGAATCTTGAAGAAGTTAAATCCTAATATGGCATCTAGCATGATTGATATCCCAAGCTTATCACAATTATAGGTCTGTGTAGTTTTCAATGGTAAGCTGCTATCAGAAGCAAATTCTTCATGTTACCACTTTTCTTGTTTATTGTTAGAATCATTTGCAACCCAATTCTTTCTTAGCTATTTGTTGTCACAGCTCCCTGTATATATATATATACCTCTGTACCCAGGTTTACCCACACTTAGCCTATTTTACCTATATTTGTGATTGATTATCTTAGCAGCAAAACATAGAAACCTCCTCTAGTTTGGACACTTTACATGCATTGATCATAATTCCCCAAAACTTAGTTTCCTTCTCCAACCCTGTAATGGACACATACTGTCTTTTCATTGAGATATCTCAGGAGAATACAGGCCTGGTCCTCAGTGTCCTTATTCTTCTTGTTGAACAGCTGGTAGAAGATCCTACTAATCACTGGGTAAGTGGCAATACCATCCAGAGCCAAGCACTGAGCTGCAACCCAGCTGTCCACACTATTGCCTGCCACAGTGGAGCAAAAAAAAAAAAAAAAAAAACATGAATGCAGATGGTGATCTGTTTTCTTCCAGAGATGGGTACCAAAGATCACTGCCTGCCTGACGCCTCACTTCCCTGTGCCCCAGTCCCATGTGTAAACCATATTTAAATAGGGTGTATCAATCCCATAATTAAACCATATTTAAATGGAGCATATCAACATTTTAGATATAAACTGAAATTTACAACCTGAAAGTTAAATACTAAAGACTATTGTTAGGTAACAGGCATAAGGCCTTCCTTCTTGGAGGTTGGGAAAACTAGAGAGGGAGGCTTTCCTAAGATGGAGGAATTAAGCAGTTGAAAGTCTGTCTGCAGAAGGCCAAACCAGGCATCCAGCTACCCCCTGTAAGGCTTGTTTCTCAGAGCAGTTAAGTATATTGGGCCTCTCCCCTGACACAGCCTTTTTGATTAAATAACTCCAACAGTGTGTACAGATAATACCTGGAAGTTAACTCTACAAAAAAAATGGAAGTATGATAGTCAGGTGGTGGTTTTCTTAAATTTTCAAAATGCACTTAATAATATTATAAAAAAAAATCAGGTGGTATGAAAGAGGCCATTTAAAAAATTTTTTTTTTAGTTGTCACTAGACCTTTATTTTATTTATTTATACTTGGTGCTGAGAATTGAACCCAGTGCTTCACACATGCCAGGCAAGTGTGCTACCGCCAAGCCACAGCCCCAGCCCTGATTTTTTTTTTCTTGAATTTTCAATGAACATGTATTACACATAGTGGGGGTTAGCAAGGAATTTTCATATTATATATCATATGCACTGATCAAATCCAGCCTCCTGTTTTCCATGTTTTGTTTCCCCCCAACCACTCACCAACTTCTAGTAACTCTATTCTCATATTTCTACATTGAGGTTGACTTTGTTTTTTACTAACTTTTGCATATGAGAGAAAACATGGTACTTTTATTTCTGTGTCTAGCTTATTTCACTTAATATAATGTCCTCTGGTTCCATCTATTTTAAGGCATGCATCTATGAAAAGATTGGTCCAGGTATCAATTAGCAGTACCTATGAAGAAATTATTTCTGAATGTTCCAACATAACCCCAAACCAAAAAGGGCAGACATCACAACATGACAGTTTGGGGTAAAAGGGTGGGAAAGCTGATGGTGAGACACCCTGTCTTTATCCCCTCTTTCTACACGGTTACCTTTCAGAAGGGCAATGTGCATGATGTCCTGTGCCAGAGGATTATGTGACTGCATGACATATTGGCATATTGCTGCTGCCATCTTCACATTGGCATTCTTGTCACAAAGAGCAGCCTTCAGGGCAGGCTGTAGAACCTCTGGCACATCTGGGACAAAGGGGGCTTTCACAGTTTCCTTGTCTGTAACCAAAAGAGAGCCAGGTAAAAGTAGTAGCTCTTTGCTTTTCACTCCAGCACAGCTTCCTTCCTAGCCACATGGTGTTCTGCCTCAGCACAAGTTGCAGATGCTTGCTGGTACTTAATTGTTTTGCTGGGCCTGTAAAGGGCAGGACACTGTCATGCCAGCTCCTTTGCCTTTATTTTATTTTTTATATCTTTTTTTTTTTTTTAGAGAGAGAGAGATAAAATTTTAATATTTATTTTTTAGTTTTTGGCAGACACAACATCTTTGTTGGTATGTGGTGCTGAGGATCGAACCTGGGCTGCATGCATGCCAGGCAAGAGCGCTACTGCTTGAGCCACATCCCCAGCCCTCCTTCACCTTTATTATCTGGGCTCTAAAGTTCCACGCCAAAGAATGTTTCCATCTAGGCTGTGGTGACCTTTACCATTAGCTTTAGTAACAAGAATCAACTTATTTTACCCCATGAGACTTTATATATATATTAATTTTTAGTTGTAGATGGACACAATACCTTTATTTATGTGGTGCTGAGGATCAAACCCAGTCCTCCTGTGAGGCAAATGCTCTACCAATGAGCCACAACCCTAGCCCTATATTTTTAATTATAGCAATTATACTTATGCAGTGCTTTGCCATTTTTTTATATAGTGTTTTTACACCATCTCATTCAGTACTTCAACCCTGGTTGAAGTAGGCAAGGGAGGTATCACTGCAGAACTCACCAGGAATCTTGGGTTTAACTATAAACATTCAACTTCACAAAACTGTCATAGGCCACACATGGCACTATTCTTCAGGAGGATATGGAAACGAGCACAGTTTGTCAATAGGGCAGCAGTGTTTGGCATTCCTTTTGGTTGGAGTTCTTGAGATTGCATAGCATTCCGTGAAGTGCTCTGAGGGTAGCTCAGGGTACACTTTTGCTCCACAGACACTATTATCTCTTCTAATAACTCTATAGATGGAATTCTAGGATCCACAAAGGGTGTGCCTGTGATGCATTACAGCATCCAGGGAGGCCCAAAGCATGGTGTCCTTATCAGGTACTTATATTTCATTTATAGTTCTTCCTAGTCCCACTGAACCATCACCAGGCTTCATTTCATCATAAACAATTTTATCTATAAAGATAGTTTGTAGCTCGGTGGAAGCTGCTTAGCCTGTGCAAGGCTCTGGTTTTCATCTCCAGCACCACAAATTAAAAAATGATCTTATCAGGGGAGCAGGTGGGCACTTAAGCTCAAATAAGGGGGAAGAGCTTTGTGACCCCTTTGTCCACATTCTTTAGATGAGGAAGTTGAAGCTCAGACAGGTTAGCTGACTTTCCAAGAAGTGTCAGAGCTGAGCCTGTGACTCAGATTTTAGGATTTCTAATGTGTCTTTATCATTAATGCCATGGACCAATACTGCCATCTGTTAAGAACAGACTACAATTGGGCTGAGCACCTTTGATCCCTAAATCTGAAATACTCCAAAGTTGGAAACTGAGCAATGACATGACAAAAGGAAATTTCCACGTCTGACCTCATATTATGAGTTTGAACAAAATGCAGATATATTAAAATGATTATATAATACTACCCTCAGGCTATGTGTATAAGGTGCATTTAAAACAAATGAATTCCATGTTTTAGCTTGGAATTCATATATAATGAGATATCTTGGGTTTATCTCTAGATTTACAAATATTTCAAAGTCTGAAAAAAGTCCAAAAAATGTTTGGTCCTAACCTATAGATGTATATTTTAGGAAAGCAAATAGAAGTTAATTGAGTATTCGAAAAATACGCTAAGTTTCTCTGGGAAGTTAACAAGAGAAATCAAAATCTAGACA